TATATATATATAAATATATGAGATATATAAAAAATTGATGTGGGTACTCAAATAAAAGGTCTTGACGAGCGTAACATCAGGATGAGCTTATAGCTTTAAAAACGTCAATAGTTGACAAGATACTAGGCCATTTCTTAATTATGTATCTAGAGATCGAGCGTTTTTAAATGTAGCCTAAAAAAATACTAGTAATTATTTTATCATTTAACAAAATTATCCAGGTATATTTAATAAATACTAGGGAATTTTTTACAGTGTAAATTTTTAAATAAATTGCGAAGATACAGGAGCAATAATTTCCACAATACATTAAAAGCTTCCTGTTAATTTCTTATGAACGTTGATAAACAATAATGAATTAACGACTGGCCTTTCGCTAATGGTTAATAATTTATTCGAAAAGATTAACCTTGTAAATTTGTTAAATGGAGATTACCACCGAGATTCGTACAAGAGTATTTACCATGAAAAAAATATCAGGCTGCACATACATAAATATACAGGTGTGGTTGTGGTGAGGAGCTAATTGAGAAAACCCGGTTGAGTTTCCGGGAGAGCGTTGATCGCTCGAAAAAGACTGTGGAGCCTGGAAGATAGAGACAGCAAGAGAAGAGACTATATAGTGTGGCTCAGCTGGAACAACGGAAGATTAATTGCTTTAATTTCCGAGACATGATTAATCATAATTAACAGGCTGTCGGGCACCGGTTAAGATCGGGCAAAAATGAAGCCCTCAATTGGGAGATCTAAAAATGTGTTTAGTTATTTTTGGGGTTATTTTGATAATTGTCGGGTAAACGTTCCCCTACGTAACACCGGCGATTAATCATTCAGATATTAAAAGCAGCGCTGATTTAACTAAATAGCTTGCGGGGAGAATAAATCCCGAAATAATTCCCACATAAAACAATGTTTTTTCGTGGAAATTAAGAGATTGCGATAATAGTCTGGGCGTTAGTAGTCATAACCGAGGCAAAGAGTTTAAAAGGGTACGGAATAAAAAATCTAAAAAAAAAAAGTTTAACGAGAAAGAGAACAAGGAGTCGGCTCTGAAATTACTTTACCACTTTCCGGCGTTATTTATCGCGCCTCTTATTACATCTCAACTTTGCCCCGACCTACAGCATCCATTTAACTGTGTCCTGTCTGCTTTTAACTTTTAGCTGCTGTTTATTTATTTAAATCCCCAACATCAGCCCCAAAAGGAGATTTTAAGCCTGTGCCCATAACCTGTAGCTATTTTTTATTTATTTATTGATTTACATCCTTAAAATCTGCCCTAAAAGTGGATTTTAACCTTGGGCCCATAACCTGCAGCTCCTTTTAATCTTTTTATATCCTTAAAAGCCCCAAAAGTCGATTTTAAGCCTGGGTCCATAACCTGTAGACTTATAGAAGGATTTTTTTATATTTAATAAGCTTCATTAAATGTTAATAAATGATTTTAGTTCATAGGATTTAATAAATATTTATTAACAGTTAATAAATTATTTATCAAATATTAATAAGTATTTGTTAACTTAACAAATATTTATTAACAGTTAAGAACACGGAAAAATTAAATAGTAAATGCAACATGACAAAATCATGATTTATTTATTTATTTAATTATTTATATCCTTAAAATCCGCCCCAAAAATTGGATTTTAAGCATGGAGGCCCATAACCTGTAGGACAAGCATTATTCCGTGAGCCGTTTCGGTTTGGGTTATTGCTTTCCTCGATGAATAAGAACGACAAGAATGAGAGGGTAAAGTTATCGAGATTCGTGTAATAATCCACCGAAATCTCGACTCGGAGGGAATCCGAGCTAACATTATATATCAGGAATAAGGCGAAAAAATAAATAAAAAAAGCAGAGCAACCACAAGAAGAAGAAGTAGAAGTTGGTGTAAGCTCTATCTAGTTCTCAGGAGCCCTGATCGAAAAGTATTTCTCATTTGGCCTTTCAGAGCGTCTTAGGATTACGGTAGGTGCTAAGAAAGAAACCAATACTTGCTTTTATTTTATTTTATTTACTTCTCCGGTTCCTATCTGGGAAAATATCCTCAGACTTTTGTCGGGGGATTTATTTTAAGATTTAATCCATTTTGTAGATGACGTCGGAAAATAGAACACCTGGAAAATAAAATGGCTAAGATTATTAACATATATTCAATCATAATAATCAAACGCGGCTTTATCGACCGTAAAAGAAAATTTCTTGACCCTCGGCGCCTCTCTTATGCCTCTCGCCGATAATTCAAACTTTCAAAGATAAACAAAATATGTCGAAATAGTGACATCAGATAATAAAAATATCACTTTTGAGGAATTTTTCCATCGGGTAATATTACAATATTTATTTTATTATTATTATGCTTATCTAAAGTCATCTTTGTCATAAAAATTTATATTTTTATTATGTTAATCAATCAACGTGACAATTATCGTAACTTATCATAAAGAATTGTTTTTTTAATTATCGTGTTTAGAATTTTTTATTTTAAAGAGTTTGACCTCCTGAACATTGACCAACTTAGATTCTTTTATTTTTGTTTAAATTAAAATTATTGAAGAAATTTTTAACGAAAAAAATCCATAATTAGCAAAAAAATCGTTCTATTTATAACGGAAAAAATTAATTTAATTAAAAGAATATTAATATCTTGCCGTTTTTTTTCCAATCTAGCAAAAATTCCCGCGAGTGTTTTCATTATTTTAAATCAAAATTAAATAAATCACTTGTCGACATACTTGCATAACAAAAAACAGCAAACTGTTTTCCGGAAACATCATATCAATGTCATCGCATAATAATAACATCCAATTGCAATAGTATCATTGCTGATAATGCAATTTTACACGCCTTTTTTGCCCCGCCTAAGTATCCATGTGACTGTGGATGTAAGAGAATCTTTGAACTTGATTTTTGGAGCTCAAAAACCTTCGATTTAATTAAAACTTTGCTCACTTATCAAGGACTGATAATATAATTATTTAATTAGGTTTTTTCATTGTCCTTATCAGAATTTCCGGTTTTTTTGGGTTCTCTCAAGTCAAAAAAATGAACTTAAATCAATTGTTTTAGTATATAATAATTGCCATGTTGCAGCACCATGATATATCATGTTTTGATTACGTGACAATATTGTTGCAGCAACATGATTTGTCATGTAGTCGAAACATGATATATCATGTTGCTGCAATATGGATTGTCATGTTTCTGCTACGTGACAATCATGTTGTGGTAGCATGATTTGTCATGTTTCGGCTACATGGCAATCATGTTGCAGCAACATGACAATCATGTTGTAGTAGCATGATTTGTCATGTTTCGGCTACATGACAATCATGTTACGGTAGCATGAGAAAAATCATGTGTCAGCAACATGATAGACTACTATACACTTATTTTACATACAATATTATAAATCTTTAGTTGTTGCAGCTTAATTTTATGCTATAAAGGCTACATGAAAATCATGTTGCTGCCACATGATTTTTCTCATGCTACCGCAACATAATTGTCATGTTGCTTCAACATGATAAATCATGTTGCTGTAACGTGATAAATCATGTTTATTTACCAAGACTGCATCATGTTGCATTTACTATTTATTTTTTTCCGTATATTTTGATATATTTAATAATAAATTGTTATTTATCACAAATAATTCTTAAAATTGTAATAAAATAATAATAATAATTATTATTATTATTATTAAAAAATTTATTCTACTTCTTATTTTTAAACTAAAAAAATTTGTTTTGTTAATCACAATTTAAAATTTCCTTTTTTTTTTTTAATTTTTTGCCATAATTTTTTTCGCTATACGCTACAAAAATGATCTAATAGATCACCTCGCAAAAACGAAAAACTACTTTCACTGGATTTCCTTGAAACGTTTCCACTACTATACCTGCGTTCGGTTGAGAAATCTGGAGCGTTAAAATTCCAACATTAACTATATCAACCGATAACCTTTTCATCTCTTCATTTTTAACTGATAGAGTTTCAAGTCCAAGGAATAACCGATAAATAAAGTAAATAAAATAAATAATAATTATTTTTACTAGTTCTCCGTGAAATTTACGGAAGTTTAGCAAGGCTGAAATTATTATCATTAATATCTGGAATAATTAAAACAAACAAGTTGGCCCTGAATCCAAAGGTCGGACCCATTGAGACTGAAGGATACTCCATGAAGATCACTGACTTGCGATCGGATTTTAACCCTATTCTTCTTTCAAGGTGATTGCAGCTTATAAAGAGGTGAAGGAACTGAAAAGACACAACAACGAATTAATGATTATTATTAATCCAACAGTTTAGGATAACACGTGTAAGTTATAGCCGACTCGCTACTTCTACTTGCAGTGCAATCTTGGAATGTAATGAGAGGGAAAGCAAGACCTCTGCACTATGCTCGTACTCATACTCGTACTCGGACTTGGCTTATGTTATGTTACTACTTACTACTTACGAGTAATTACTGTTGCATGTGATAGTTACACGGCTCGGTGGACTGCATTTGTCCAAATGACCAGCTATTCTTCAAATCAGTCGCTCTTCGGCATTCGATCGATACTTTTGTTCGCTATTTACTAATTTTATATCTTGCAGGTAATTTAATTGCTTTATTATTATTACGTCTTCTTTATTTTTTATTAGTTAATCGTAATAGTCGTAACATATATTTCTTATCGCAAAACAATAAGCGTGAATTATGGTAATTTAATGATACGCAAGAACTGGGTTACTGATGATAGTTTTTAAAAATAATGATTGACTTTGATCGGGTTTAAATTTATTGTGTTTTTAAAATTATTTTTAGTTTTTTAATTAGAGAAATTATTTTGAATGAAAATAATAATAATGAAAGAATTTAGTTAAATTGGATTTTTTATGTTAATAAGTATGGATAAGAATTTTATTTTAATTTAATAATAATAAAGTTAAAATATTGTGAATATTAGAACGTATTTATTCGGCCAAAATTTTATCAATTGTAAATTTAAATTTTTTTTTTAAATATGAAGTAGAATAAATTTTTTTATTATTATTTGATGACATTTTATAATAAATTCGCAGTGTGTGACTGCCGTGACTAGTGAACAATAATAATTAAAATTTCGCTGAATTAAATAATAACTTTTGTTAAATTACACTGTACTTTCTTAAATATTGACAATTTTTAAGAAATAAGCTCATCTTGATTATACACTCGTCAAGAGCTTTCATTTGAGTACTCACTTGCATTTTTGATATATTTTTGATATATACATATATATATATATATAAAATATATAAATATATGAAATATATGAAAAATTAATGTGGGTACTTAATTGAAAGGTCTTGATGAGTGTAACATCAAGATGAGCTTATATCTTTAAAAATGTCAATAGTTCACAAGATATTTGTTAAAATGCCCTGTACTTTTTGAACTATTGACATTTTTAAAGATATAAGCTCATCTTGATGTTACACTCATCAAGACCTTTCA